TCACCTCAGCCTCCCAAAGGCGCGGGATTACAGGCTGAGCCACCGAGCCCGGCTCTCATACGTATTTATATGGTTTTTTATAACTCCTGTCTCCCTAAAATATGTATCACCAAGCTACAATTCTGTCACCCAAGGCACACATTCTCAGGACCTCTTGGGATGGGTTTCATGAACGTAGGTCACTCACATGTCGCTCAGAATAAACCTTCAATAATTTACAGAGTCTGGCAACTTTCGTCAACAAAATCTTTTGAACACCCCAATCTCTAACGATGATCAAATTTTCTGAGCCCAACAAGAAGACAAAGGATTTTCTTTTCCTATTTCTGATTTTGCTATATGAGAAGGTCGACAAAAGTAGACAAATTAAACCACACTTATTCATTTCTTGATTTGCTTTTGCTAAGAATCTAATTAGAAGAAACAAGACTGATTCCAAAATATTCAGGATATGCAAACCACTAGGCAGTCCCACGGCAACTCTTTGAATACATATTCAGGATTACCTGTTTGCTCTCCTGATTTTGTAATTTAAAAGGGCAAGTGAAACCAGTCCTAATAATTTCCTGGGCTCTCTAATTCTGTAATAATGAGAGACTAACAATGTGGATGTGATCCCTACAATTATAAACCTAATTTCTGGTAGAGATAGGTGGGTTTTTCATACCGAAGCCTCAGTGTATTGTAGCACAAGAAACTCCTCCATGTGTTTCCCTGAGCCCTAAATCTCTTGATGACAGGGAAATGCAAGGAGACTAAACCACTTCGTCCAGCAAGTCTAATTAGTGGTGCCCACCCCCAAGGAGCACAGGTTGTAATGTGTGTAATATTTCTCATTTCTTTTTTAGGCAGCCTAGCAGCCACCAGGGCAGGAGAAACTAAAGATATTTTTAGCTGCCTGGTTTCTGGCTGCCAGACACAGTTACCCTCCTGCGACACCATCCCTGAGAAGCAGAGCCTGGTGTTGGCGTGTCAGCAGTTGCTGCCTCGACTTCTCCAGGGGAGATTCCCATCCCTGGTGCAAGAGGAGATCGACTCCGCTCTCGCTCAGTGTGGAGAGGCCACCGGCCCAGACTCAGAAGTCCTTGGGGCTGCCAGCAGGCTGAAGGACATCTTGAGACCCCTGAGAACCTGTGACCCCAGATTTTCCTACCGCTACCCAGACTGCAAATATAATGAGAAGTTCTGAGAGGCTGGAGCCTAGCTGGCCTCGGGAGACCACACACTTGGCGCTCTATTCCCACGTTTGAGTTACTGCGAGGCTGAAAGCTGCAGCTCTTTTTTAAACATTAGGAGAAATGCACATTCGTTTCCCAGGGACTGAGGGGAGCTGTGTGATGCCCTGTGATTGCCCCTGATGGTTGGGACATCCTGGTGGAGCCCAGGGGTGAACATCAGAAGACCTGGGTGTGGACATTCACTCAATGTCTGTGAGCCTCCATTTCTTCTATTCTTCACCAGACCCTCACGGGGACGAAAGAAGACAGAAATGTGAGGGTACTGGGACACATGCTCACCACCCCTCGCGCAGGTGGTTGCAAAGTGTGCTCCAGGCCCGGCTCAGAGGCTCAACCTATAATCCCAGCACTTTGGGAGGCCGAGGCTAGTGGATTGCCTGAGCCCACGGGTTCAAGACCCGCCTGGGCAACTTGGCAAGACCTCATCTCTACAATAAATCAAAAATTAGCCGAGCGTGGTAGCGCGCGCCTGTGGTTCCGGCTACTTGGAAGGCTGAGGTGGAAGGATCGCTAGAGACAGCAGGTCGAGGCTGCGGTGGCCGGGAGTGGCCACTGCACTCCAGTCTGGGCGACAGAGTGAGACTCCAACTCAAAAAAAAAAAAGTGTGTTCCAGAAGCACACACAGGCAAGGCACATGAGAAAGAGCCACACAAGTCAGGAGGCTGATGTGGAGGGGAGGCAGGGGAAAGGGAAGGTTCCACTAGCACTTTAGACTTGGGCAAAAGAGGACCCCCTTCCTGCTCCCTGTGGCCCTGCCTTACTCCCGACACCACCATGGGCTGAGGATGCTGCAGGCCAAGGACACAGGCCCGCCATGGCCTGCTTCTGGACCATACTCTGGGTGCCTGGGACTCCATACACATGCGTGTAGGGCACCTCACGGTGTGGGAAGGAGCCAGGGCCAAAAAGAAGGGGACCAGCCTGGGACCCATGTATTAGCCCAAGTCCTCTGAGAAGCAGGTGTCAAGACAGGGTTCAGAGGTGAAGATTTTATTCGAGGAAAGGCATGTGTGAAAGGAAAGAAGGAAGGAGCTGGAGAAGGCTGGGAGGAACATCGAGGCAGGCTATGAGGCTGAGCCCCAGTGAGGGAGAGACGGCCGGACAGGAGCTTTCTGGGTTGCTACCAAAGAAAGGTTCAGCAAAGCTGTCAGGGTGTCCTCAAGGCAAAGGCAGCCATCAGAGGACCTTCACGTCTCCCAAGACCGGACCCCTCTCATATCCCTGCTGCACTCAGTCCTTGGCAGGAACAGCCTGTGAGAAATGAGCCCTCAGCCCCACCTGAAAATTGGATTATTTCAAAGCACAGCAGCTTGGGCCCCTAGTCAGCCCCGCTCCCTAGAGCTGGAGGCCTGTGAATGGGAGAACATTCACGTTGTAACCTGAACTGGAGATCAGGGCCAGTTTTTTCCACTCCACAGCCTCCAAAGTGAGACTCTACAGAGTCTGAGAATTCTCATTCAAACTTGGCCTTACAAAAATATAAAAATATTTTTTCAAGGTCAGCCAGTAGAATGTATTTTACTCAATAGTTTGTTAGTTTGCTTTATACATTTTTTTTTTTTTTTTTTTTGAGTTGGAGTCTCACTTTTGTGACCCAGACTGGAGTGCAGTGGCACACTCACGGCCACCGCAGCCTCAACCTACTGGTCTCAAATGGTCCTTCCACCACAGCCTTCCAAGTAGCTGAAACTACAGACACACGCCATCCCCAGCAAGTTTTTGTGGTTTATTGCAGAGATGAGGTCTCACCAAGTTGCCCAGGCTGGTCTCGAACTCCCGGGCTCAGGCAATCCTCTCGCCTCGGCCTCCCAAAGTGCTAGGATTACAGACTGAGCCACCGAACCCAGCCTTGCTTTATACATTTTAAATATTTAGCCACATGATACATAGGCTTCCACGTATGCTCTTGCCCCAGCCCCTAAACCATTAGCGAGGTCTCTTCCGTACTTTCACTCAGCTTCCCTGCCAACCTTCTATTCCCAGGGACCTCTCAGTCTACCTCCTCTTTTCTACCTCTGAATCCCCACTTTTAAGGTCAGAACATCTGGCTTAACAGGTCTCACTATGCAGATGGAGAAACTGAGGCCCAGGGAGGAAGCGTGATTTGCTGGGATAGTTCCATAACTCCCATTACCAGTCCATGCTCCTCTTGCTTTCCCCTTCAGCCTCTGACTCTCACCCTGTATTACCCAATTCTGGTCCCTTTACTCACATTTAAAAATAGACTCAAAGAAGTCTTATAGCCGGGCTCGGTGGCTCAGCCTGTAATCCCCGCGCCTTTGGGACGCTGAGGTGAGTGGATTGCCTGAGCCCGCGGGTTCAAGACCCGCCTGGGCAGCGAGACCTCATCTCTACAATAAATCAAAAATCAGCCGGGCGTGGTAGCACATGCCTGTAACTCCAGCTACTCAGAAGGCTGAGGCTGAAGGATCGCCGGAGCCCAGCAGGCGAGGCTGCGGTGGCCGGGAGCGGACACTGCACTCCAGTCTGGGCAACAGAGTGAGACTCCAACTCAAAAAAAAAAAAAAATTTAAAATTAGCTGAGTGTGGTGGTGTGCACCTGTAATCCAGCTACTAGAAAGGCTGAGGTGGGAGGATCAGCACAGGAGGTCAAAGCTGAGGTGAGTAGTGATTATTCCACTTTCAGCCTGGGTGACAGAATGAGACTCCGACATACACAAACACTCATATGCACATTCCTTATTTTGTGGCTTACTAGGTTGACTTTTGCATTTGCCTTTTGACTGCTGCCGGCAATGCCCTGGGGCAGTCATGACAGTGAGGATGACAGGTCAAGCTTGTGGAAGAGTGGGCTTGGGTTACCTGAGTACCTTTGAAATGGCTGCCTTCTGGCTTGGTCTGGAGGGTGAAGTCTGACCGCCCTTTTCACCTACACAGTCATGGTCCCTCCCCTGCTGGCCTGACTGCAGCTGTCCTTCCAGCTGGCCACTTGACCAGAGCCCAGGAAAGAGGCCACAGCTTCCAGACCCTCCAGAGTCCCACAGAAGATTGCCACAGAGACCTTTCAATGCACAAGCCAGGCCCCAGCCCATCTCCCTGGGCCCAGGTGTTTTTGCACTGCAAAATGCTTCCACACAATGAGTGACTTTGTGTGAGGACCCCAGGGCTTACAGAAATGGCCCCTGCACATACCCACGTGTGGTCTGAGGTAAGCCTCCAACTCCACCACCCCGTGTCTGCCTGCCTGCACCGCGTGCAGGGCAAGCATTTGCTCCTTCCTCTCCTCCAGATCAGTCACCTGAGACTCCAAGAAATGTTTCTTCAAGCCGGGCTTGGTGGCTCAGCCTGTAATCCCGCACCTTTGGGAGGCTGAGGTGAGTGGATTGCCTGAGCCCGCGGGTTCAAGACCCGCCTGGGCAACTTGGCAAGACCTCATCTCTACAATAAAAATCAAAAATTAGCCGGGTGTGGTAGCGCGTGCCTGTAATTCCGGCTACTCGGAAGACTGAGGCGGAAGGATCGCCGGAGCCCAGCAGGTCGAGGCTGCGGTGGTCGGGAGCAGCCACTGCACTCCAGTCTGGGCGACAGAATGAGACTCCAACTCAAAAAAAAAAAAAAAATGTTTCTTCAAAACCACCATGCAGTCCAGGTGCAGTGGCTCAGGCCTGTAACCCCAGCACTTTGGGAGGCGCAGGTGAGAGGATTGCCTGAGTTCAGGGGTGAGAGACCAGCCTGGGCAACTTGGTGAGACCTCGTATCTATGGTAAATTTAAAAATTGGCCAGGCGTGGTAGTGCGCGCCTGCAGTTCCAGCTACTTGGAAGGCTGAGGTGGAAAGATCACCTAAGCCCAGCAGGTCGAGGCTGTGGCGGCCGTGAACGTGCCACTGCACTCCAGCCTGGGTGACAGAGTGAGACTCTGACTCAAAAATAAATAAATAAAAACCACCAGGTAACCCCAGGAGCTGCTGAGTCCAGGCAAGAAATGCAGACCCAGGCCTTTCCTGAATCAGCAGAAAATGATCTTGTCAGAGTCCCAAGAAGTAACAAAGAGCAAGACCACCCAAGCGTCCCCTGGAGGGCTGTCGGGAGATTTGTGTTTAGTATGAATTATAATAAAACTGTGTATGTGTCCAACTGTGTTCACATCCACAGTGTAGGCCAAGAGCTAAGGAAGGCAGAGCAGATCATAGGCAGGGCCTACATATGCTTAAGAATGGCCTAGAAGCCGGGCTCCGTGGCTCAGCCTGTAATCCTGCGCCTTTGGGAGGCTGAGGTGAGTGAATTGCCTGAGCCCACGGGTTTGAGACCAACCTGGGCAGCGAGACCTCATCTCTACAATAAATCAAAAATATCAGCCGGGCGTGGTAGTGCATGCCTGTAATTCCGGCTACTCGGAAGGCTGAGGCGAAAGGATTGCCGGAGCCCAGCAGGTCGAGGCTGTGGTGTCCGGAAGTGGCCACTGCACTCCAGTCTGGGAGACAGAGTGAGACTCCAACTCAAAAAAAAAAAAAGAAAAAGATATATTCTTGCAGGGACATTGTCTTGTATAAATAACACGATGTCCCTCAAGAGCTGGGCACATATGGGTGTTCTACATTTGAAGGCAAATACAGAAAAAGAGCAGAGGGTCTCCCTGCAGGAAGGGTTCCTTGCCCAGCCAAGGCGAGCATAACAGTATCTTGGGAGGGACCCTGATTTCTGCCCCATTTCTCTACTTTTGCCCAGAAGAGCCACCAGGTTGTCTTGAGCTGCTAGACAGTCTGACTGGGGCCAATTTTCTTCCCTTTCCAATCCAGATTCTGGGTGATTTATAGATGGCAGCAAGGCAGCCACTGTCCTCACCTCCCCAGCCCAGCCCCTCACCGGGCTCAAAGGGAATTCTGAAGCAGGTAATGGCGAGAGCCTGAAGAAGTCCATTGTGCTCGGTATACAAGGAGACATGAGGAATGGGTCAACACTCAGGAAATGGGGCCCTGCATTTGCAGATATAATGACCCTCCAAGAAGGCAAGTGAGGCAGCCTGTGCAAGTGGCCTACTCGTTACAGCTCTTTGTAGAAGCAGACAAGGAGATAGAGCAATCCATCCCATTCAGGTGACAGGAGAACAGTTCCAGTCCTGGACTGTAACTCTAGAGGCAGTGTGGCATCACAGAGGGAGTTCTGGAGGCAGGCAT